CTTACCTCCAGAACAGCCCACATCGTGGTGGTTGTTATCAGTGGTAGAGCGTAGTAAGGATCCGCGACGGTGAGATCCGTGAACCACCACAGTCCCCCCGTCTGCATGCTGGGCACGGGACACTCCGCCATTTTGCGCAGGGCGAAGAAGAAGGAGATGAAAATGGGCGCCTGAGACCGAGAAGGGAAGAAGAGGTCAAGCCAGGAAGCCGTGCACACGAAAACCAATTCCAAGAGTGCTGTAAAAGCTGACCTGGACAAAAGGCACAATTAATCCTCGTAGGGGGTTAACATTATGGGTTTTCTGGTAGTGTTCCAGATCCATGACGGCCTGTGAAACTGAGAGGAAAAGAGACAGGGTTAGGGTTAGTGTCAGATTGTGCACAGTGTGGCTATGTGATTCGACCCAGGAGCAAATACAGTAAACAGGTTAGTATTTAAATAGTGGTTTTATCTAGAAAGAATATATACATACACATACTTTAATCAGATCTCAAACAAATAGCAATTACAGCACAAAGAGAGATATGCCCCAACAGGGCCTCTTCTTATTACAGGCTCTTAAAGAGATATCAGCCCAAAAACTTTGCTGACTCATTCCTAGCATTACATCATCGTAGCAGCTGGTCATCTTTTAAATCATTACCCTGACACAGGATATGTGATGCTAAGATACAACTAGACCTGTCTGCTCAGCATTGCTTACAAACACTTCCTGTTTGTGGTTCCTCCAGATCGTGGACTAAAATTCCTATCTCCCTCAACCACACCGCTGCATTTTAGAGGCACTTCGTCCTCCTTCAGCCTGACCTCACCTTAACGGCTGCTGTTGCAGACTTTGTTTAATCCCAAAGCTTTTGTTAATCCCGCTCAGGTTTGATCCCATTTTAAACTTACACAGTAGTCTGTTGCCTGCCTTCTTGGCTTCGCTGATTCTAGTAGTTAGCGCAGTAATCTGGGGCACATGGTTGTTCAATTTGACCGCGTCTCGCTGGCTCTTTACAATGAGCGGGAAAACCAGACAGCGTATAAATACCGTCCCTGGAAATTGGGCAAAAGAATTGCGTTATTTTGCAGGACGAACACAAGTTTGCTGGTACCCACACAGATGTTCGGTCCGTCAAAGAGTCTATCTTAGAGATGCAGGAAGTCTTAATTCCATAGCTCAGGGGTTTCCAACCTTAAACACTCAAAGAGCCATTTGGACCCGTTTCAGTGGCGGGTTGCTCTTACTGTCGCTCCCGGTACGCTGCTCCCGGAGCCGGCGTCCTGTTTGTGCAACCCACCACTTCCGCGACACCCAGCTGCTTGTTGTGGCTCATGCAGGAGCCACATGCTGTGCGCGCCTGCACAATTGGCCGGTTGCTTTAAAAATAGGTGTAGAACGCGGGTGGGTGGGGCAAACGAGCCACCGCACTGGTACGTTGTCAGCTGCTCCTGGCTACTACTGGTACGGCCGTACCGTACCGTACTCGGAGGAACCCACCACAATTCAATGTCACTCCCACCCAATCATATGACACCCCTCCCAGCCACGCCTACCCCGATTTTGTGGCTCCCGGTGTTTCCTTTTCTGTGGGAAATGAGTCTCTCTCTCATTTACCCTTGTTCCTTAGCTGTTCCCTTCTCCTGACAGCTCTGCACATGCGCACACTGGGAACAGGCTCCAGCTGTTCTTCTGCCCCACTTATGTCCGACTCCGAAGGCAGCTGATAACTGTCAGACAGCCCTGGCCCCATCTCTGCCTCCGACGCAGAGCCCTCATCAGAGCCTTCCCCAGACTCCAGGACTGGCCGACGTTCCTCCCCACCCTCCTCACTGTCCGACTCTGCCGCCAGGTACTGGAGGGCCACAACAGGTGGCCCCGCGGGCTAGATCCGGCCTTGAGTTTGATACCCCTGCTGCATAACAATGCCTTTCTGTTCCCATCTGCTTCGCTGCCCCACAAATCTTCTTTACCTGCCACAATGGCTCCCCACCAAGGCAGCCCCAAGTCCAAGTGGAACGATTCCA